ACCTCTTCTTGAAAAGAGATAAAAATAATTGTTCAAGCTGTGCTTTGAAGGAGACAAAGAGAAAGTGATAAGAAATCATCTTGTGAGGCATTATATGATAGGAAGTGAACCTGCTGAATAAGAATTAAAATATATGTTTTGTCACTTTTCTTCTTTTCTTTATTTTTTATATTTTTCTTAGCTTGCATTAGTTTGTTATCTATTTATTTGTAAACTTTAATAAAATTATTGAGGAAAAAAAAGAAAATGATAATGGCATAACTATGGCTGAGTACAACAGAGCTGAAACAGCCATAACTTTTCCTAATTCCAACCCCACAGGAATAATGGATCACAGATGTTGGATGCATTGTGCAAGTTAGTCCATTTGAGGTATCTTGTTGCACATTTTGTCCAGTTGCAGGTTACAAACAGACAAACTTGTGACACACAAGAGTGTTTGTATATATAGACATGTTACGTATACAGTGTAAGCTATGGCACATAAGTATACAGTGTAAGCTATGGCACATAACTGTTTCAATATATTCTACACTGCTAAGATTCTGAAATTTGGAGTAGTTTCAGAAAAGGTCTGTATATGTCATCAGGGGCCTGAAATTGCAAATATTTGAATCGTTGTGTGCAAACTGGGCAACTGTGAAAATTTGTTTAATAAAGTAATAAATAAAACAATTGAGGGAGGTGGATATGTTTAATGTTTAGAAAAGTTGACAGGATGTGCGACAGCACTGTGCAAATATCTGAAGGGGTACCACAGTTTGTTCTCCACTGACTGAATGGAAAATACACAATAATAGACTTAGATAGGAAACAGATGCCAACTGAATTTTTAAGGGGAAAAAAAACTTCCTAAAAGTAAGAACAGGTCAATAGTAAAACCAATTGGTAACCGGTGATGGCATTCCAAAAGAGGTCAGATTGATATGTATTTGGAAGCCTTTAAATTTAATCCACATTCCTGCACTAAGCAAAGGGTTAGTCTTGATGGTGTAAATAAACCCTTCTATCTTCACAACTGTGATTTTACATCAGAGAGCCTCAAAAGCTTAATTTAGACTGGCAGAAAAACAGAAGAAGTTAATGCTTCATGTCCCAGTTTCTATTCCATGAAGAAGGCTGCTGTTTTTCTTTTTTCTTTTTATGAAATAAGATGACAGGATCTCAGCAACTTTAAAGGACTGAAATCCTAGAAGGGATGTTTTCCCTCTAACAGCAGCTGAGAAGGCTACATCGGATTGATTTTTGCTTGGCACTTACTAAAATGAGGTGTATGAATCTGCAGATAAGAAAGCAGCCATCCCTCAGCCTCCTTCTGGGTTTCAGAGTGACCATTTGATAGCAGTGTTCCAATATTTGAGGGGCTGCCACAAAGAAGAGGGGTCAACCTATTTTCCAAAGCACCAGAAGGCAAGACAAGAAACAATACATGGAAACTAATCAAGGAGAAAAGCTACCTAGAATTAAGCAGACATTTCCTGACAGAACAATTAATCAGTGGAACAATTTGCCTCCCAAAGTTGTGGGTACTCCATCACTTGTACCTTTTATAACAAAACTGGACTGGTATAAGATCTCCTGCTTGAGCAGAAGGTTGGAATAGAAGACCTCCAAGTGGGGTGGGATTCAACCGGTGTTTCTACTGGTTCGGTGACTATGTTTTGCGCGCGCGTGTAAAAAAACCTTAAGCTGTGCCTCCTAGACAATTGAAAAATGCTGTGCGCAGGTGCTGCACAAAACAGCTGAGGTTGAAAAAGCAGGAAATAAAGGTCAGGTAAGAGCTTGGGCAGGCGGGTGGGCCAAACAGCAGCAAACACAAAAACGGTTCGGTGTCTGCTGCTCTTCAGAGCTACCGGTTCTATAGAGCCAGGCAGAACCGGTAGCATCCCACCCCTGCCTCCAAGGTCCCTTCAAATCTGTTATTCTCCACTGAGCTGCTCCGAGCATCCAGAGTGGGAGGTGCTTAGTCTCTGCTCAGATAGGCTGGGCTTAATTGTTAGGATGCTCTTACTCCTCCCTGGCTCTTCCCTAGCGGCCCCAAGTTTTAGCTCAGCCTTTGGTGTGGTAGGCAGCTTATCCTTGGCCGGAGCAGGAACACTTTGAGGTTTGGATTTCTTTAAAATGAACTAGATTCTAAATTGCTCTCTTCTTAGCTCCGACTGCAATTAGAGGGAAGCAGTCAGACCAAATTGCAGATCGCCTATTGGCGATCTGGACGCATTCGCGTTCACAAGGCTCATAGCGCCATTAATCGGCAGCCGCGTTTCCGGGAAACACGTGGTTCCTTCCTTCCCTACAACCTTCTGTTATTGCCATTGCAATTCAATTCGGCACTGTTTAAACAGAGCGTGCTTTTCCTTCTACTTTTTTGCCAGTTGCGATTTCTCCCCTCGGAGAACGTGGAGGCGTGGGCGTAGGAGCCCTTATTGTTCCCTTCTCACCATTCAATCGCGTAGCAGCCGTTTTTAGTTTTTCTCTTACTCCGATTGAGCGGCGAAAGTTTCTACTGTGTTGGCGCCAAAATACGGCCAGCGCCATCTTCTAGGGGGCCCGGTGGCTGTTTTATTTTGGCACACATTCTAACGAACACCGCCATAAACACGTTACATCGTGTGGCCATTTATTTCCTTAATAATATTTTGTGAGAGGCTTTTAACACCCTCTAAGTTCCTGGTGCAGGTTACAGAGGAAAATAAAGATTGTTTCAACTCCCTTTACTCCGGTTTCGGGGAGACAAAAAAATCGTATATTCTTGTTGGCTGCACTCACATTGGATATATATACAGATATTTATATATAGACTCAAAACACAGCAGCAAGCGACTACCAGGCTAAGTTCAGCCTGCGCAGACGGTGGTAGAGGGCCTCGTGTTCGTTTGGCCTCCTGGTTTTTCTTCTTGAGCGTTCTCAAATTGGCATACTTACCCATTAGTTCACTCAAACATTTATAGATATAAATAAATAAATAAATAAATAGATAAATAAATAAAAATAAAAATAAAAAATAATAATAAATAACTAAATAAATCAAAATAAAATAAAATAAAACAAATTTTCAAAAAAGGGGGAGAGAAAGTTCATAGGGTTCCTTGCCCCTGTGGTGGTGCAAGACCCCAGACGCGCTAACCGTCCACATAGAAATATATATATTTATATATATCTATATACAATTTCTCTATAATACAGATTCCCTCATAAATTGAGGTACCCGAGAATTGCAATGGCGAACAGAGAGGGCACTAGGACACAGACCTTAGATAAGTCCAAAAAAGCTAAGGGGCCATCAAAGGCCACAGAGAACGGATGCCACCAGACGCCAAAACGCACTGGAAAAGCAAATTGAAAGATGTACTAAGGAGGCTAAAAGAATTTCCCAACCTCCTCCCCCAACCCAGTTGCCTCAAATTCCACAGACTCCAGCGGCCCTAGACTTATGCATGCCATCCAGACCTACTACCACCGCGCAGGCCCCATCAGCTGTTCAGGCTTCAAGTCGGGTCCCAGAGGCGACCTTTACACCAACAGCAGCTGGCCTATGTCAGGAGGAGTTCCTGCCAGACGAAATTCTGGAAACAATGAGAGCTTGGATGGAACTGGCGATCTGCAGAGGAATCGCAGAGGGGGTGCAACAATCCATGATGGCCAGATAGAACCCTACGTCGGAATGTGATTCACAGTCAGTAAGATCCCTTGGCAGAACTGACCTGCATTATCCTCAGGTACCTCCCCAAGGGGAGTTTTCTATCATTCCACACATGCAGTCACATGGGGTACAGGAAGAGGGAGAAGGAGAGGATCAGATGGAGCAAATAGATGCAGTATCAATTCAAGTTAGTGAAGCCCTATTGGAGGCAGATTCCCCAGACAGAGGAATGTTAGATGACGAGGGCATCAAGCCTGACCAACCTACCTTTACGGGGCTGTTCCATCCACAACTTTTCAAAGGTCTCCTTTTCAAGGCCAAGGCCAAAGCTCGTCTCGAGAAGCCTCCCTCTATCCAACAACCCGAATCTCAAGAAGAGTCAGATGACTTGATTTTCTCACAATCCATTAATGAGGTTGATATCATTCCAGTTCCACAAATGTTTTCGGATCTCATCCAGAAATAGTGGGCCTCAGCAGCAGTTTGTCCAGCCCCCACAACATTTGATAAAAAATTCTTTAATCTAGCTTCAGAATTTTCTAATTCCTTGAATACCCCTGAAGTAGATGAGCCAGTAGTGGCCTTGGCATCCTCCTCCACCATTCCCACCGAAGCAGAGGAGGCCCTTAAGCCAGAGGAGAAGAAAGCCGAGATAGCTCTCCAAAAGGCACATCATTCCGATGCGTGGGCCATAAGGGTGGCAACAGCCGCGTCCTTCTTCACTAGGTCCTCCCTCAGATGGCTCCATCACCTGAGGGACACCATACCAAATTCTAATGTCAGGGCACATCAGGACATCGCCAAACTAATGACAGCAGCAGTTTTCTGCGGATGCTACATACAATTCGGTCAAATTTTCAGCTCAAGCCTTAGCATCGCAGGTTACTGCCCGTCACTTGTTATGGCTTAGACATTGGCAAGCTGATACCAAACACAAATGGAAACTGGCCTCTTCCCCAATTTCGGGCGATAAATTATTTGGCGCTGCTCTAGATCCGCTGCTGATTGAGACCAGAAGCAAAAAGAAGATTCTCCCCTCCCTCCTTCGTCGCTCAGACAACAGAACCTTTCAGCCCTTTCAGAGAGGCTCCTTTCGTCCCTATTATCAAGGTACATTCTCACCTATTCCAGAGAGTCTCAGGATATGGGGTGCCCCACAGTCAGATAGATCAGAATTCGCTGATAGAACACACAGGGGAGCACAAGGGAGAAGATCATTTAGAGGAATAGGGAGCAGGGGTTTCCGACGCCCAAGATAACTCCAGGGATTTCGCTCCTATTGGAGGACAGTTAAGACTCTTTGCAGACCATTGGGACTCCTCTACATCGGATTCCTGGGTCCGTGACACTATCAGATTTGGCCTAGCTCTGGAATTCCGCTCCACTCCCCCGGACTTTTTCATGAAATGCCCTCTCTCCAGGGATCCTGTTAAAAGGAACTTGATGGAGACAGCGATCAAGCATTTATTGGAAATCAAAGCCATCCAACCAGTAGCCCGAGATCAACAAGGGTACAGGTTCTATTCACTACTTTTCGTAGTCCCTAAGAGTTCGGGGGGATGGAGGGCAATCCTAGATTTAAAAAGACTAAACCGTGCTCTAGTCTATCGCAAATTTAAAATGAGTACGTTGCAAACCATTCTGCTTAGCATAAGGAAAGGCGACTTTTTAACTTCCATTGACTTAACAGAGGCTTACTTACACATTCCAATTAGACCTTCTCACACCAAATTTCTCAGATTCTGTTACAACAACCAACATTTTGAATACGTTGCCCTGCCCTTTGGGCTGTCATCTGCCCCAAGAACTTTTACAAAGTTTCTGGCAGCATTAGCTGCCCCGCTTAGGGGCACTCCTGTCAGACTACAATGCTACCTGGATGACATTTTGATCTTATCTTCCTCGTCTAGGCAGGCAGAATGGGATACTCAAATTACATTGCAAACTCTTCGGCAACACGGTTTTTCCATCAATTGGGCAAAGAGTCAGTTGTATCCTTCAACTCGATTATCTCACTTAGGCTCAGTAATAGACACGATGGAAGGAAAAGTTTTTCTATCCCCGGAGAGACAGGAGAGCATTAAAATTTTAGCTCAGAATATCAGAACCCTAAAACGGGTTCCTCTAGCTGATTTATCAAAATTACTTGGGAAAATGATCTCCTGTATTTCTATTATTCCTTGGGCCCGGTTCCACGCTAGATCGCTCCAATGGTTCCTACTTTCACACCAAAAATCGGGGCAAAGCAACTCCAAGATTCGAGTTCTAGTACCTGCAAAAGTCCTGATTTCTCTGCACTGGTGGACTGTTCCGGTCATAAACAAGGGTTGTCCATTGAGGGAGCCCCACAGACTCACCATCACTACGGATGCCAGCCTGTTTGGATGGGGAGCACATTTCCAGTCCCTATTGGCTCAAGGTCGTTGGTCAGGAACAGAATGATCGAACAGGATAAATTGGTTGGAGCTCAGGGCAATCCATCTAGCTCTTTGCAGCTTTCTGCCACATATTAAGACAAAGAACATCCTCATATTTACAGACAATGTCACTACAAAGGCACATATTAACAGACAAGGGGTCACTCATTCGAAACAACTCATGAGAGAAGCAAAGAGACTGTGCCTTTGGGCGGAAAGGAATGTGGCTTTCATCAGGGTGGAGCATATTTCAGGACTAACAAACACACAGGCAGACTGGCTAAGCAGGGCTACAGTCGACCAATCAGAGTGGCGCCTGCACCCGGAGCTGTTTCAGCAGGCAGTACAGAGGTTCGGCTTGCCAGTTATAGATCTGTTCGCTTCTCCCCTGAACTCGTAGCTTCCGAGATTCATTTTGAGATACCCATCCCATGGGGCGGAGAACATCAACGCCTTTCATTGCCGATGGCCACAGGGACTCCCATACGCTTTCCCCACCACCACCACCACTGATACCCAAGGTGATCCAGAAGCTACTGGACAAGAAAGCAGACCTGATCTTGGTGGCTCCATACTGGCCCAGGAGGCCGTGGTTCACGGATCTCAGGGGTCTCTCCACAGAAGAACCGTGGAGAATCCCACTGCACAGAATTCTGCTCACCCAGGGACCGATCCAACACTGGGACCCTCAATGGCTGCACCTAGCCATTTGGAGGTTGAGCGGAGACATCTAAGAAAGGGGAATCTCTTGACCAGAGTAATCAACATCATTCAAGCTGCTCGGCGACCTTCAACGAGCCGCATATATAATACCACTTGGAATATTTTCTATAAATGGTGCACCAAATCCAAAGCGCATCCATTTTCTCCGTCAGTGCCACAAGTTTTAGAGTTTCTTCAAGATGGGCTTGATAGGGGTCTCGCACCAAACACTTTAAGATGACAGGTGGCGGCTATTGCCTCAGTGGTGACCTGGAAAGGTCTAACATCCATCTCACACCACCCAAGGATAAGGAGTTTTCTTCGAGGTGCCACAAATTTATGTCCACCAGTGGTACATCGTTATCCGACCTGGGACCTCAACAAGGTACTCACAGCACTCACAAAGGGCCCATTTGAACCACTGAAAACTACCAGTTTCCATTTTCTCACATACAAGGTAGTTTTCCTCATAGCTATAACATCAGCACGATGTATCTCAGAAATAACAGCTCTATCGGCCGTAAGGACCTCTGTATTTTTCATACAGACAGAGTGGTTCTCCATCCAGACCCCACGTTCATACCAAAAGTCAATTCTGCTTTCCACAGGGCACAAAAACTTGTTCTCCCAAATTTTTGCCCCAGGCCTTCTCAGGGTCTAGAACATCAATGGCACCGACTGGATGTCCGCAGAGCTCTCAGTATGTACTTACATCGAACGGCTCCCTTCAGGAAAACTGAAGCCCTCTTTGTATCCTTTCAGCCAACCACTCAGGGCCATAAGGTCTTACCTTCTACTATAGGCAGGTGGCTGAAAGCCACAATAGCCAAGGCGTACGAGACTCAATCATTACCCATGTCTAGGGGCATCACAGCACATTCTACAAGCGCAGCAACTTCAGCGGCCTGGGCCACACAAGCCCCTATAGCAGAAATATGTAGGGTGGCAACATGGGTTTCCCCATCTCCTTTCATTAGGCATTACAAAATTGATGTCTTTGCTTCTGCTGAGGCCTCCTTTGGAAGGAGGGTGTTACAATGAGTCCACTCGGACGGGGGGGGGACTCCAGACCAGACAGAGACCCTCCTGTAGGTCAAGCCAAGCTTTGGTATGTCCCACTCTCTGAATGCTCGGAGCAGCTCAATGGAGAAGGGGCGTTGGTACCTACCTGATACACCCATTCTCGGTGAGCTGCGACGAGCATCCAGCCCCACCCAATATCCATCTGGGGGGATCCTGGTCTGGCCAACAACTAATCTAGAAATATGTAAATAGTAGTAGTAGTAGTAGTAGTAGTAGTAGTAGTAGTAACCACAAACAAACAAGAGAGTCAAGAGGGCGGGGGTTGCATCACCTCGTCTTCGCCAAAACTGGGGGACGCTAGGGAGGAGCCAGGGAGGAGTAAGAGCATCCTAACAATTAAGCCCAGCCTATCCGAGTAGAGACTAAACACCTCCCACTCTCTGGATGCTTGTCGCAGCTCACCGAGAATGGGCATATCAGGTAAGTACCAACACCCTTTCTGTTATTATTCTGACCGGTTCTATGCTGGATTATTCTGTCCCTTTTACAGAAGCTCATTGGGAAGAAAGGAAGAGGAAGACAGCAAGAAACCAGACAAAAGGAGAGAAAGAATAATGGCAGCAATCACTTCCTTTTGGCTTTGCTTGTTTTTTGCAGTGCAATGCCTAATATATTTACCCTACTCCAGTTTCCAGGAAATACAGCCCATAATACCTAGCATTCTCCACCTCTCCTTTAAAGATGCAGGGGATGCAAACTTAATTCAGAGTGTCTCCTAGTTACATCCTTGCTTTTTGTCTCTAGTGCATTTAAATGAGTCTGCATTTTTCATAGTACCCTCAAAATAGTATTATTTTCTAAACCAGGTCTGCAGCCCACTATATTGCATGCCCCCCCCTCCTTAAGCAGCTTGTCAGTCTGGTTCCCTGGGGATATTTTTCCCTTTCTCCCACTGATTATTTGAGAAAGCTGGAGGAGAGTAATTTTTCTATCGACTTGTGCTTTGTCAATTCTTCATATTGCTAATTGCCTAATTAGACACTCCAGCAGGGTTAAAGCATCTTTAATGGAGTTCTGCATCTCCTTCCCCTCCCAGCTGAAGGTCTTCATTTTTTTGAGTGGAAGTTGTCTGTTTTATATTTGGGCTGGAATTGGGCAGCTGAAAGAGACTGACTGTACTCTTGCAAGGTGCCTGAGTCACAGGTATGCACTTCCATTATGCAACCAGCAATTTAGCTATTACTAGACAACCCATGCCCCATTGGGTCATTGTTTCAGAAATAATATTTCTTTATCTTAAAACTGTGAGTGGGCTAAAAAGCAGTGAGAGCAGGAGTGACTTCCCACTTCCCCTCTTGAATTTCTTTGTAGGAAGCTGGCAAGATCAGAAATCTTCCTTCCTTCCTTCCTTCCTTCCTTCCTTCCTTCCTTCCTTCCTTCCTTCCTTCCTTCCTTCCTTCCTTCC